CGAAAATGCAGTGAATCAGAAAAACCAGGGATCGCCTTAGATGAACCCTTGCAGAGCGAGAACGAGGATGAGGATCACCATTGTAGCTACACCCATATCTGGCATAATTAGGTTGCAAGCTGGCATAACTACACCTGATCCTAGCATAAATATGCTAGATATACGAGGCTAGAATAATTACAGCAGAAAATAGTGCAATTACGCCAGTCCAGCATTTTTGTCTGCTGTGTGTTTTGGCTCTGCAAGGAGTTGTCGAACCTTGTAACCTACAAAATACCATCACGAAATCTTTCCTGAGCGTAAAACAATGATGAATACAGAAGAATCATAGTATTTAAAACAATGCATCCTATCAATTTCTTCCAACTTACCTATTGCTTGCCCTTATATAAGAGCATATCTAATTGGGACTCCTTTATGTTTTTAGTATTCATGTGAGACTTCCTGATTCTCTAACAAGATTATATAAGTGTAATGAAAGAAGTCCAAATATCATTTCATAGTGAGACTATTGCAAATCTCTAACAATCTAGCCCTCTTTTCAAATCCCCTTTTCCTGAGCCTAGGCAAATCTCAAAAAACTTTAATCAGTTGTGATTGCAATATTTTTATTTCCCAATGATATTTTTAAGTAGATTAATTCTGAATCAAATAGATCTAACATCTCGTAACTTTTTTTAATATAATAATTAAGATTTCTTCTAAAAACCTTTTTAGTTTTATCAATGAGGAAAGGAATTAGATATCACTTCTGATTTTTCCTGCTCAACCTCAAGCTTCTTCTCAAATAGAATAAGCATTTATTTGAATTTTTCCTTTGGATCACACCTTTCGTAAATTTCTTTTCCTTTTTATTTTCTTCTTTTTAACCCATTCAACCTTATTTTTTTCATTTTTTTAATCACACTGAGAATTATTAATATCAGTTTAAGCATATTTCTTTTAAAGATTCAGAATGTCTAATCTCTCCCAAATTCTAATCCTTAAAGCTATAGTACACTACACTTCTAAGAGGCCATTCAGTGTCGGACTCTTCTCGGAC